GGGGGGGGGGGGGGGCTGGGCAAGGATAAGGGGTTTACTAGTAAGTGCTGGCAGGGATCTTAAACTTTCAGCTGCCCAGAGGATTCCTTCTGTGTCAAGTGCCATGTTTCCCTCGAGGCACTGTTCAGCACAGGCCTTACATGTGCTCATACCATGTCCTGCAGTGACGTGGGAGGAGGAGCCTTACTGTCTTGTGCTTTGCTGTTGACTGGAGAAGTTTTTGTGTTCTATTTAGTTTTTTATTAAGAAAACTATAATATAATTTTTCTTATCAAATAAAAGTATTTTAAGTTTTAATGATGGTGAAGAAGGGGTGCTGACAAAATGGGGTGACAGTTTTGGATGGGGAGGGCTTGAGCAGGCAAAAGATGATGCTTAACTTGTTTTTTGTATTATTATGATTATTTATCTTAAGTTTCCGTATGTCTTCAGTTCATTCCACTTAGAAAGCAGAGCTGCCACCAGCAGGAAAAAGTGTTGGAGTGATTCCAGCTCGGGGCAATACATCATTTTACAATCAGTGACCTTGATTACTAGAGAGTTGTTTGGGACTTCTTTGCCAAATGGAAACAAAAGGGTATCTGAGATTGGCCCTGATGAATTTTTACGTTCCTTGCATGCTACCAGAGCTCTGCCAGACATATGTCCTCTGAAATGCCCCATTTATTAGACAACTTGTTGCAGTAAAAAGCACCTAGCTTCATTTTTAATGTGAACTTTAAAGGGCATTTTCAAAGAGTTGATGTAAGGGGTGCCTAGGTCTGCTGTGTATTTTTTTTTTCAGCTGCTCTGAGTGGCAATTCAGCACAAAGCACATTGAAAGTCTGTTGGATTTTCCTATGATTCAAGCTTGGAACTTTTCAGAAGTCCCCTGCCCTGTGACTACTCCTAAATTATGGATTGGAGATGAGAGGGAGAGTAGGTGCTTCACAGCACACATCATAGGATCAAGTTCACAATGTTGCCCCTTTTGGCAGGGCACGGTGTTTAGGTACAGTTGAGCAATCTCTGTTCAAGCTGTGCACAGCTGACAATCTCTGAGGTCACTGAGGGCAGAGTGGAGCCGGCCTCGCCACCCTCACTGTTTGCATCTCATGGAGTCAGCATCACTGGAGATGGCTCTCCTCAAGCTCAAGGTGACTTTGCAAAGCTGATGTCTCTTTGAGCTGCAGCCACTTTTCATGGCTTTGGAAGGCTAAATGAAAATGCCCCTTGATACAGTAAAGTGTTGATCTGAATTTTCATTGAACTGCAGCTCTGCATATTTTACCTGTCACTGATTCATTTAGCTAGCTGAGACATCACAGTATTGCACTCAAATTATGGTGAAAATACTTGCATTCTAATACTATGAGGACTTGTGTCCCTAAGTAGGATATAATGTAGCTAGATGCTTTGTAAACAACAAAACAGAGGATGCATTACCAGAAAATGAAGCATATTCACATTATGTATTGCAGATGGTAAAATATTTCTGAGAAGCAAACAGCTATATCAGCAGGGGTTGGGGTTTGGTACAAATCTTTCCCCTTGCTGTGTAAAGAAACAGTTGTTAAGGCTTTTAAAAATGTGGAGCCAAAAGGGGGGGGAAGAATCCAGTAAAAATACATTTCTTTTGGGAGGCTTCTTAATTTTGTTTCTGTGCATGCTATCAGGGACATATATTTCTTGGGCAAAGCTTTAGCTTGTGCTTGCATTAAGAGCCTGAGTGAAGGCTGCCTTGAAGTGGGAGGGAAACATTAAATGGATTAAACAGGCTCTAAGTCAGACTTACAGACTTCTTCCTTTCTACCTGCTCTCATTTCTTCTGAATTGCTAAGGCAGTTCTGCTTACCAATGGACAAAACTCTCATTACAGCAGGCCATGCAATATGTAGGAACACTTGGGTATGGAGATGTGAGGAGGCAGGTGTGAAGTTCTCCCTAAAATGTTAGGCTGTGGAACCTACAATGGCTTGCAGCAGCATAGATATCTTCCTGTCACCTCTGACATGCTCCTCACTTCACCTCATAACAGTTAGAGGAACTGTCAATGGCACACATGGCTCATGCAAGCATGACCTTTGGACAGGATGAGGGCTCCCCCTCCCACACCCCCATGCTTTAGATGCACCATCATTATTAAAAGTACTTTTTAAAATACATAGTTCATTTTTAGACTGCTGTTCACTTTTGTATTTAAAGATATTATTTTTCCTGATTTGCTTGAGAGTGTTTTCCCCATTAGAATTACAAAAATTATGAAGAATATATTGAAAGTTTGGGGAAGATTGGATTTGATTTTCCTTTTCCAAAATGGAAGGGATAGAGAGCAGATCTGTGCATGGAGTACCTTGAATAAAGTCCTCTTGTGGGAGGCTTCCCCCTACCCTGTATGGGACAAAACTACCATTTTAGGTCTAAATTTCCCATGTTTTGAAGAGTTATATGGCCCTTTATGTAGGACTATTCTGAAACCTAAATATATCACGGTGTCCCATTCATACTTGGCTGGAGTGAAATGATTTCCCACAGTGATGGGAAACATGTTGTTGTGGTTTTTAAAGTGTTTGAAGTAAACGTCTCCATGGGAACAAGATTCCGTTCATTCAGATGCCTCTGAAAGTGTATCTCACTTATGATGTATTTCATACCTTAGAAGGGCAGAACAAAATTCAGGGAACTGCAAAAATTTTTTGTCTTTTTTCAGAATAAGTGGTTTTTGAAGCTACTAGTCTTGAGAAAAATCTTAAAAGTCTACTAAACATTTGCTGCTGCTTTGCCTCTACTGTCCTCTCTGACACTGTCTTTCCTTCATAGACCCACTGTACTGTTCCTGATAGTCATGGAAACTTGGGGAGGGAACCAAACCCATGTGAAAAATCTTGTCCAGAAGGAGTGTATTTGTTGCTAAATTTTCTAGCACTGTTTACAGTTTTCCTCCATGTTATTTATAAATTTTATATTCAGTGAATGTATATTGTCTTTTAAGGTAATGTTGCATAATGTTCACTTTTTTATAGTGTCCTTTTATTCTAAACAATAAAGTGGTTTTATTTCTATCACAGACATTCTGTCTCTGTTTCACTTATTAGTGAATGTACACAAATGGATTTGCAAGTGGATTTATTAATTTCCTATACTTTCTTGATACAATTTTATTGGGCCCAAAGCAGATATTCTACCTCTAGTAATTCTTGTGCTTTGGCAAAGATCCCTCCAGCAGTCCTTTTAAGAGTTTGATCTAAGAATTGTTATGGGGGTTATAAGCTCAGGAGAGGCAAAAAATCGCTTTTGAAGTTAATGTATCCCACTTGTTAACTGGCCATAGGGGGTCACTACAGAGCAAGGCAGTCATTATGGCTGTCATGTAGCAACAGTAGGGCCTTAGAAGAAGAGATGCCAGATTGTTCTTACTTACAATTGCAGGGGTGAAGGTTGAAAGGTACATGTCCGTGGCAATGGGAAAAGAGATTCATCTTTTGGACCTTTTCTTCTGTCAAATGTCAGAGCCTTGTGTCCTCTCTTTAGGCTTACTGTTTAAGGCTGGTTAAAAATGCCCTCTTGTCATGAGAAAAAAGCTTCAGAAAAGCATTTTCAACTAAATTAAAATGCTCACAAAACGGGCCTACTGTTAGAAATTTCCTTTATCTCACTTTTACTTTAGGAAAATCTCTATTGAACACGGATGAAAGAATGAAACAGGTTTTAAAATCTGTTTTATGTTTAATCCAAAGGTTTAGAAAGTAAACTTTGTAAAGTTTTGGACATAGAAGGATGAGGATTTCTTATGCAAGAACTTAATTATTTAAAGTATATTGCATTGCAAAGAGGTAAAACCGTAACACTAGTTATAAACGCTGCCAGGGGGTCAGCCATCAAAGGACCACAGCATATTTTATGAGTGCTAGCTGGTATAGCTTGAAAGTGCCTTCAGGGAAGGGAAGAAAAAGACTGAGAAAGAGGGATCATTATATTCCTTCTGGCACATGGATAAGCTGATGCACAGTGGGCGAGCAACTTTCACAGGTACTTGGTGGAGTGTTGACTGCAACAGAGCTTGCTTGGTGTAAGCTTGCTTGCCCTCTAAGCCTCTCACAGCCCAGGATACTGTGAAGATGCACCCAGAATGGATCTTGAGAAGCTACATAGATTCATCCTATGAGGCAGATGCCCCATCTGGAAAGGGCTGACTTGAATTTGCCCAAGTGGATTGTTGCTTGTGTAAATGTTTAAACAAGATTACTCAAGCTTGCATATTAACAATAGCTTGTATTCAGATGAGATCATCTACAGTTTAAAAATGTTCCTGTATTGTTTTGGGAGTAAGCAATAGCATCTCAAAGTAGAGATTATAAAGATGACAAATGTATGAACTTAAGATCAAGTGCTCTGCTGAACCAAACTCCTGTGCTGGTAACAAATGCATTTACATGCTAAGG